CTCTTGTAAAACATGCAATCTCTAGTTTTGCAGTCTACTTACTTCTCATCGTAATCACCATCTATCTGTTGTCCATATTTATTTTGATAAATCATAAAGTGCCACATAAAATACTCCTGGTTAACATAGGAGTTCTGGGACCTAAGAGTCCTCTTTTAGAGTTTGTCCAGTCATACCTGTCTAATCGTAAACAAAAGGTTTTAGTGGTATGTTCACTTCCCACTGAAATCCCTATAGTAAGTGGTGTCATACAGGGTAACGTTTCGGATCCTCTTTTGTTCCTGCTTTACATAAATAATATCTCGTTGGCAGTCAAACATTCCTAATCACTTATTTATGCCGATGATCTTAAATGTGTATATTTTTCAATTAATCTCCGACTCTTCATTGCATGGAAATAATCCATGCTGACTTGCCTTCTCTCTCAGCTTGGAGCTCAAAATGGCTAATGGAATTCTCCCCGTCTAAATGTCGCTGTAACTGTTTTGGACCTTGTAGGTTACCCCAACCAGTGGCCTTTCAAGGCACACCTATGACTGAATGTACCACCACCAAGCCTTTAGGTCTAAGCTGCACCAATAATATTGATCTCTCGCCACAAGCTGACAGAATTACAACCAAAGCTGCCCAGATTTGTATCTTTATTTCTTACAATTTCTATCTTCCCGAAATCAAATTAAGACTTTATCGTATGTTTGTACTTCTCATTCTCGAGCATTGTCGCCCATTCTTTGGTTTGATGAACGAGGCTAGTCGTTCAAAAATTGAAAATGTTCAAAGTCATTTTATTAGAAAACTTTTAGGCACGGAACTTCCAAATATCTCCTACTCAAATAGATGTCATAAAACTAACCTAAATTTTTTATGGGTTCGAAGACTGGAAACAGGCTTCTCTCTCCTCTTTCGCATGGATAATAGTTCAAATCAGCATTCACTCCTAGTATTTGCCCATACAATCTTCGCAACTCTTCCTTGCTTACACTTTCTTCCGATTCTCTCACCTCTAAGGATTCTTTTTTTTGCTTCCAGATATACTTTCCTATGGAATAACCTTTAAATAAATATAAGATCTTCAGATAATCTACACAGTTTTAAGAGGAGGCTACGCCTTCATCTGAATAGTGACTCGATCAGACTTTTATTTTGCTCATCCTTCCAGGACAACTTTCTCTATGATACCAAGAAAGGGTCACCGCGAATTTAGGACACCGCCATTAAATCTCTGTATCCGCTCACATTTCCTTCTTTTTCATGTAGTATCGCATCCTTGGATCCCTCATCAGGAATATTAATTTTTTCGATTTTTCAGTTCATGCATTGTGTCCCTCACAGAATGCACTCTATCGGCGCTCTTGGCAGAAGCCTCTGTATTCGCCATATGCTGGTTGTCTGGTCCCATTTCCCTTGCCCCTCCTCGGCTGAACTCGGCCGGTTGTAAACGATCGCGTCTGAGTTCCAATCACCTCGAGACTGGTTTTCTGTCCGCCACTTCGACATGAATGGCCTCATGCGGCATATGAATTCCGCCTTGATGATGTCCGTATCGAACACTTTACTCAATATCACATGCAGGCTTATCCTGCCTGACCCGTCTACTTACCCCTTCATGAAATCCGTTATACGGTGCCACATACAGGCCGATCCTGCGAGCTTCTTATTAATTCAAGAGCGACAGTTTTCTTTCTCCTATAATGTTAATCCAGTCATACTCATTTTATTTGGATGTTAGGAGTTCCTTTCGCTGCTCGCTCACCATTCTTCGTAATATACTGCTTATGCAATAAGTATGAATTAAACATTGTATAGGTTCTGTATACGTGTTCTACAATTCTTGCAAGAGTTATTCTTACTTGCAATGAACGGACCACAACGGGTCTTGAATAAAAATTATTATTATTATTATTATTTTTATTATTATTATTATTAAATCGCCCAACTCATTGTCTTAGCGGAAAGCGTCGAAACTTTCAAGAAAAGACTTGATAAATGTATGCTTGATGGTAAAACATTTACCCGATATCAGTGACTGGCATAAGTTTCATGTAAATTTGTTCATGCTTTTCATACATCTACTTGTAAATAGGGTTTCCCCAAGGCTCTGCCTATATTCTTCATATATACTCAATTATAATTATGTTGAATACACCCCTTGGTAACCCACTTACGATCTACGTCGGTCACCGTCCATTATATACCAGAATTCCTTCGAAGAAAATAGCCACGAGGAAAACAGGGGGCGAAGCTAATACTAGGTCTAAAAGGAAATGCTTTGAATGCAGATCAAAAACTACCACCGTGTGAATGAAATCTCCGTAACCTGTGAAACACTGGAATTCCGCCTAATCTTAACTGAAGTCGTTCTTACATCAAGAGGGGTATAGGTGTATCCAGCGGTGGATTCACTTGACGGTCATAGTAGATCGCTCACTTGATTAAAGGTGTATACTACGCCTAGCGTCCATTTTCTGTCACCAAACTCTCACATTTGGCTTCTCGTAGCCAGGCTCTGCCTAACAGTCACACCCCCCTAGCCGTCTCGATCAGTGGGCTAAACCAAGTGAAGGTATCCGTTTGTGCATCTGCTCGTACGGTAAAGTGGACTCCGCTGACCGGATGTATCTTTGCGTCGAGATCGTCGAGCCGAGGCACCGTCTGGCACATCGCAGGAGGACTCAAGGTAAGTGAGTCCTCAGGCAAGCGAACATTACTCTGCTGCCTTGCTTTGCTCGTTCCTGTTACATGTTCTATGCTGCTCTTGTTGCCTGCTCTATGTCTGTTTGTGATTGTCCCTGTAAATAGCTAGTTATTGTTCGGCTGGACTACCTGTGTTGCCTTTGCTTCTTGCTGTCCCTGCCTGCTGGCTGTGTCTGCTTGTCCATTCTTAATGAAAGTTATATGCGGTTCTGTTAGTTGTATCTTAGCTCCGCTTCGATTCTGCAACTACTTAACCCAGAGGATAGGGGGAACGTTGTGCTTCTCGTCTATCTGCCCTTTAGCTTACGCGTCGTCGTAGGCAGTTCCAGGCTAACTTCGATCGCTCTCCCATTAACCAAAAGTAGTGGCCCATTGTGGAGTTCGGCAGCCGCCTGGGACAACCGAGCAGCCCTATTTAGGGAGAACACTGCTCGTCACCACGAGGGGGAAGGGGATAGAAGAAGTGAATTAAATGAATGATGGGGACCTACTCCGTCTGCAGGCTAAACGTTGCCGCAGACATAATGCACACGGTCGAAACATTCGAAACCGAGACAACAACACTCCTCACCGCCCTACACGCCAAACGGGCAGGGTGAGTCCGCTTACTCTGGCAGCCTGGAACATTTGACCTCTGTAAGAAAATCCGAGGAAAAACCGATCGGAACGGAGGACGGCGCTAGTAGCTCGGTAACTGGCGTGCTACAAGGTGGACTCAGCGAGACCCGGTTCTCCAAACAAGGTGAACTCCAGAAGGTGGCTGCCCGCTACACCGTCTTCTTGAACGGTCGCCCAGATGCAGAGAAAAGGGGCGCGGGTGTCACCTTTGCCATCCGGAACGACATCGTGAGACCACTGTCCTGTCTGCCGCAGAGCATCAACGATCGTCTGATGAGCCTCCACCTGCCTCTTCGGGTTGGAAATTTGCCGCTATTCTCAGCTTCTGCACCCCCCCCCCCTGACTAGCCCCGATGCCGCAAGGACCAAATTCTACGAGGACCTGCACGCCCTCCTGGCGACTGTGTCGAAGGCACACAAGTTAGCTGCCCTTGTTGACTTCAGCTCCCTCGTCGGCACAAACCTTGCGGTCTGGAGAGGAGTTCTAGGTCTCTATGGTCTCAATAGCTTCAATGGTAATGGTCTGTTCCCTCTACGAACCCGCGCAGAACAACGACTAATCCGAAAGAACACCTTGCTCCGCCTCCAGATACGGGAGAAGGCCATCTAGATGCATCACCGGTTGCGTCAGTGGCACATGCTAGACTATGTCCTTGTCCGGAGGCGAGACTAGTGGGACGTGCTGGCGACAAAGGCGATTTCGGGCGTTGACGGATGGACCGACCATCGTCTCGTCATCTCGAAGATGCGGATTCGTCAACAGGCTCGCGTGATACGTCAAGGTAAGCGCCCCCAGGCGAGCTGAATATTGCCTTGTTGTCTTTGCCTGCTTACCACCTCCATTTTAGCAACGAGCTTGTTCAACGGCTGGAAAACGTTCCAGTCGTTGATGCCGTCGCTACCGCCGCCGCTGACGAGAACACCTTCATAGAGGACCGATGGCGTCAACTGTGGGACACAGTCCTGTCGACGGCGCTGGCCGCCCTTAGTTGAGCACGGCGCCAACATCAGGACTGGTTCGGCGACAACGACGTCACCATCAGCAACCTGTTCACCGAGAAGATCCGCCTGCACAAGCCTACGTCGACCGCCCCACCGACGACAACAGAGCTGCTTTATACTGTAATCGCTGGCTTGTGCAATGGCTGCTCCGCGAGATGCAGGATACCTGGACGGCTCGCAAGGTTGAGGAGATCCAAGGGTACGCGGAACCTAAAAAATGAAATAACTTCTTCTGCGCGATCACAGTTGTCTATGGTCCGCCAACCAAAGACACTGCCTGTTTCCTCAGCGCTGATGGCAGTACCCTAATCACTGAGTAGACAAATTCTACGGCGATGGGCTGAGCACCTCCGAGACGTACTCAACCGTTCCTCCGCCATCTCTGACGTTGCCATCGCCCCTCTGCCGCAAGTGCATACCAACACCGACCTCGACTTCTCGCCCTTCCGTCACAAAACCATCCGGGCCGTGAAAACGCGCTCCAGCGGGAGAGCGCCCGGATCGGACGCGACCCCTGCTGAGGTCTACAAGCGCGGTCGCCCCAACTCAGGATCATCTGACGGCGCGCTTCTAGGAGATGTGGTGTCAAGGAGAATCCCGCAAGCTTTCAAAACGTCACAATCGTACATCTGTGCAAACGGAAAGGAAGCCGACAACTCTGTAACAACCACCAAGGAAAGTGCTTTCTGAACATTGCCGGGAAAATTTCGCCTGTATCCTTCTCAACCACCTAGAACAAGGTCTTTTGCCGAGAAGCCAGTGCGGCTTCCGCCGTCATCGCGAGACCGCTGACATGATCTTCGCCGCCCGCTAACTTCAGGAGATGTGCCAAGACATGAAAACCCACCTGTACTCTACCTTTGTGGATCTGACGAAAGCCCTCGACACAGCGAATCGCGACGGAATATGGAAAATCATGCAGAAATTCGGCTCTCCCCAACGATTCACTCAGATGGTGCGTGAGTTCCATGACTGCATGATGGCGCGCGTGATGGACAACGGAGATGTCTCAGTGGCATTCGCGGTAATCAACGGATTGAAGTAGGGCTGCATTCTGACGTCCACCCTCTTCAGTATTATGTTATCTGCCACGCTGACGGACGCCTGCCGTGACGAATGCCCGGGATCCGCGCAACCTACAGGACGGATGGTCAACTGCTCAAACACCGGAGGATGCACTTGCAGTCGCTTGCCTCCACAACCACCGTCCACGAACTTTTATTCGCCGACGACTGCATCCCCAACACCACCTCGGAAGAGTCCGTGCAAAGAAGCATGGACCTTTTCTTCGCTGCCTCTGAGAACTTCGGTCTGATCATAAACCGGGAAAAGACGAATGGCATGCTCCAACCGCCACCTAACATAGCCCACAATACGCCGCAAATCAGTGTGAACGGAACCCAACTGCAAGTGATGTACAACTCCACGTATCTGGGCAGTACAATCGCCCGCGGCACCAAAATCGACGACGAAGTGGTCCGCTGGGGTTCCAAGACCAGTCAAGCCTTCGGTCGTCTTCAAAACACGGTTTGGAATCGTCACGGCTCTCTGCTCAGCACAAAACTGAAGACATATAAGGCCGTTATCCTCCCGACGTTGCTGTATGGAGCAGAGCCTTGGACAGTGTACATGAAGCAATCGTGCAGTCTCAATCACTTCCAACTTAGCTGTCTTCGACGGATACTGAAGCTGAGGTGGCAGGACCGGATCCCTGAAACTGACGTACTGGAGCGGACGGGAATTATCGGCACATACGCCATGCTGAGACAACTACAACTGCGTTGGAGCGGCCGCCTCGTGCAGACGGACAACGAGCGGCTACCCAAACGATTCTTCTGTGGAGATGTCACCACGGGCCCTCGCCGCCAAAGAGTCTGAATCCGTCGGTACAAGAACACAATGAAGACCTCCCTAACACGTCTGCAGATCACCCTGGCCGACTGCGAAAACCTCACTCGAGACCGGCCGACCTGGTGGAGGACAGTGAAGACAGGCAGAGCGATATACGAGGAAAACCGCATCGCCACCGCGAAAGTCAAGCGCGAAGAACGCAAATCTCAGCTGCGACCACCTCGCAACGCCAATGCCCAACAGGCCCAACGTGTCCACTGTGTCAGAGGACATTCCGGGCGCCAATTGGACTTGTTGAAGACATTCGGATCAAGTGCAGCACTCGGACTGCACCAACCGTCGTCTCTCCGTCCACTTCCCTCTAGTCTTCTACGCCGTCAACTAACTATGACCACTCTCCCGAACCACCACTCACATCCACCTCCTCCTCCCACTCCTCTTCCTTCTCCTCCCGCTTCTTCTTCTCCTCCTCCTCCTCCTCCTCCTCCTCCTCCGTCTCATCCTTCTCTTCTTCTTCTTCTTCTTCTTCTTCTTCTTCTTCTCCTTCCTCCTTCTCCTTCTACTCCTCCCCCACTGCCTCAACGTCTGCCACTGTGGCGTCTGCCGCGCACATCAACATGACACACAATCCTGGCACACCAGCAAACACCAACACTGCCACCGTTGACACCAGTGGTGAGCACCCGGTCTATACCTCTCCTCATTTCAACCACAGCTTCGCCTCACACATCGGCCTGGTCGGTCCCCTGCGAATCCATTGCACAGAGACTGGTGAACCAGTGCCTGGAGCACCAACCCATACCCACCGCACTCGCCAACACGGTCCACATTGCCCTCGCACATTCATGATCCGCAATGGCCTATTCGGTCACATGCGTAGCCATGAGGGCAGAATTGACCGCATCCTGACACCCGACACACCCACCATGCCTATCGCCGCTCACGATCCGCAGACCAGAGCGCCCACTACTACCAGCTCCACAAAATTCAGTACATCTTGCACACCCACTGTGCTCAACCCAACCCACACCCCATCGCCCAGCGTGCCCACCACAACCGAGGCTGATACCGACACCGCCGACCTCTCCTGTCCGCACTTTCCCCGAACATTCACCTCACGCATCGGCCTGGTCGGCCACTTGCGAATCCATCGCACGGAGGCGGGCGAACCAGTGTCTGGAGCACCAACCTATACCCACCAAGCTCGACTCGACTGCCCATACTGTCCTCGCAGTTTCAGGCATTGAATGGGCCTATTCGGTCACATGCGCATCCACGACGACCTGCGGTAGACAACTGCCGGTTACACCACACCACAACACTCTACCGCCCTGCCTCCTCTTCCACCACCACCCACCACACATTAACACTCGCCCACCGCATGCACCCAACTGCCACCTTCCACGCAAGTGGGGAATGTGTATCTCGACTTGGTCCTCATGCGGCTTCGGCTGCACGGGTGACTGGAGTCCGAGACTATCCCGACACGTCAAGCGTCGTGGATAGGAAGGTTGCTGACTGACGCCCGCACTCGGTTCATGCAGTCCGTCGCGTTGTGTGTGTGTGTGTGTGTGTGTGTGTGTGTGTGTGTGTGTGTGTGCGTTGCGTGGAGTGGCGGACTGGTGGGCTGGGGACGGACTGAGGCAGCACCTTCCGCGGGCCTCTCACGCAAGTGAGAGACACGCCGTTCAACCCCCGTTGCGTGAAATCCTGGTGTTTTTGTGTATGGGGGCCAGGTCGCGCCGTGGCGCGCGCAGTCATGGTCAGTCGACCATGACAGCCACCGCGCCCATTTCCCACTCCAGTCTGCTGACCTGTTCGGACAGTGGCTGGGGTGTGGGAGTGGGAAGGGAGAGTGAGGTCGACGACTCAGCGCACTTTCCTCACTATAAACAATCTGACGCGCTTGAAGCTATCACGGTGCGCTAAAAGCCGTGGCTTGGAAGGGTGCCAACTGACTGGGTAACTTGGATCCCCTCCTTGACTGGTGGTGGTCTGAGAGTCAGGCTGCAATGGATCCTTCTTAATGTAGCCTTTATAGCACTCGCACCACAGTGTGGGATCCGAGCCAGGCGTTGGTGGCACGCCTAGGTGCGTCTTCGGTCGTTCCAGCCTCCAAACTCTGTTGTGTTGGTGAAAATCCTGGTTATTTGTTTTGTGGACCAGGGGGTGTGGTGGAACGCCAAGGTGAGGATCAGTCCGAGCCATCCACCTGCGGCATCCCTCGTCTCCGGTCTTCTTGACTCTGTCTTGACACCGAACTCAGGCGGGGGAGGAGGAGAGAGTGTAGGTAGATGCGGCGCAAGTCTACTGACACTATAAACCCCCCGTGCTAGTCACTGTCCCTGCTCCCACCGCTGTTGCAGCTGTGGGACACACTGTAGACACCGTCGAAATCGACGGTCAAAATGTCGTCTTGTGTGTAGTGGCGGACTGGTGGGCTGAGATTCAGGCTGAGGCGACTCGTTCTCCAGCGATCTCTGACACTCTCATGCATGCGAGAAGAGTGTGTGTATTCTACGGGTAGTTCCTCTCAGTCGACGACTCAGTCTAAGACTGTTAGCTTACCTAGCCTCAAAGGGTGACGGCCCAGGCTACACGCTTCCAGGTCAAAAGGTCCATATGTGCGTGTTTTGCCAGTATCAGCAAACCACAGCACTCGCAGCTTGGTATGCGCTGGCAGTCCCCTGACACCTAGTTCCCTGCCGGTAGATGCGCTTGAGCTCTCGCTAGGTACGCAGGTGGTGGGCATGGCTGTCTAATAATCATCGTCACTCTGGCCCCTTTTGGGGTGTCACTGATGTTGGCGAAAAATCCCGGTCATTTGTTGTGTGTGTCAGGGGGTGCGGAGGCACGCCTAGGTGCGGCATCGGCCGTGCCAGCCACCTGCGCCCTTGCCCCACCTCCGGTCTTCTTGACTTTGTCTTGACACCGGGTTCAGGTTGGGAGAGGGGAAGAGAGAGTTGGGCAGATGTTACGCAAGCGTACTTTCACATCAAACTAATCCACGTGCAAGTCATCATCCGGGCTCGGCCTTGCAGAAACGCACACGATGGATATCGTCGTAACCGATGGTCGAACTTACCTCAAGAACGTTTTTGACTCACGTAGGGAATGAATACACATCATAGACAAGGACTACTTACTAGACGCTATAAAGGGTGGATTCAAGAAAGCATTTGACAAAGTAAACGGCAGAGATGTCGAAAGGAAAATTTTAAATTAGTTATGCCTGCAAAAGTCCTTGAGTCGATGAAATGCCTTCCTGATATTTTCCACCACTCATAGGTGACTGGCGTCAGGCCAAATTTCCATCCCAGTTTATTTGAAGAAATGCGTCGATGGTATGTTATGGTCCTTTCGCCGACTGTTAATAGGGTCGCGCACGGTGGTCGATTTGGAGTGAGCATCTGTCTGATTCATGTCACAAACAGGCACGACTGTAATCAGGGGTCCGCACAGTCTCCGCACGGCCTGAAAAGTGTATTTTATGGAAAATTATGACCTCAATTTAATCCAGCGCAGGTGCAAACCCGTCCGCTTTGGACGAGATGTTGAAGCCAATTCCGAAATTTGCAGCTTCAGTATGGCCGCCTCATGAGCAGGAGCTTCGCAGAGACGTAGGTGACGTTTGCATGACAGGTGGAGGTCGTACGTAGCAAACACTTCGTGTGTTGAAGGTCGTTAGACCACCTTTTATCCCTATGATTTCCACCCAGTATGTCGCAAATGCACACGGTTTTATGGTCCTGCTAACGTCCAATCGACATATCATATGGTTCCCTAGCTACTACTGTCAGAACCGTGCTTAAGCTAACTATTCAGTATTAAAGCTACATCGGCTCTCATCAGGACAACTGCATTCAGTGTACAAGTAGATGCTGTCTAACAACCTATGGCTTGGTTCTGTTGGTCACAAAAATGATACAGCGACGTACTACCAAAAACAAGAACGCACAGGTCATCAAAAGCGTTTATTAATTACAGTAGAGTTAACAAGATGGCTTAGGTATTGGTAAAATGATATGCATCCGCCATGAGAACAGGCAAGCAGATAAAACTAACACATCGAGAAAAATGCGTAAGATCATAAACCCAAGTAACAGAAAACGACAAATGCACATACATAGGCTCTAAAGATAATAACGCTTATATAAAGGAACATAGTAATCCCATCCACATACATCGAAGAACGCCATGTATAGTTTCCTGTGAAGGAACAAATAGACAGACAGGCAATTGCAATGGGAACCTGGTAACTGAAGTAATAGAGGTTCAGTGTCGTCCATCGAGCATGGAAGCCAACGTGAACTCAGCAGAAAACTTCTGCGTAAACCCCATAATATTTCCCACCCTCAGTTGTGCATTTGCAAAGTATTCGGCGCTAGTTTTGGAAAAAATTGGGCTTAATATGCCACGAGGCAAGCATTTTTCAGCCATGTGTGTATGAAATAAGGGGTGTTTTAGTCAGCCAGTCAGTCGGTGTATTTTAGGGGAATAGGCTTACGCCTTGGAACTCCCTATTTAAAAGTAAAATTCAATAAAAAAGCCAAAATGTAAACAAATTACAGCATTAAGCGAATGCAGGCGCTGATTCACATACGTAATTGGTCTCGTGGTTAAAAAGTCACGTAGTTCATGTGGTTGGTGATTAAACATTGTTCGGTCGGCTCCACTAGTACAGTGCATAAAAACATAAGAATGTCGACGGAAACAAACAGGGGAGTTCCAGGAAGCAGTTCAGAAGGCGAAGATGCGATCAGATCGAAGATGTAAACCGAAGAATGTTCCCCATGGGACTTTTGATCGTCTCCATGACCTGCACAGATTTATCAGCCACATTTGATATGGCTTAATTGAAATGTGACGAGGTCTTTAGTGCTTCCTCATTAGAGTGAACATTACAAGCCACAAACACCTGAAGTTGGGAAAGTTTTGAACCTGTCTCCTAACATACCAACTAAGCCTATGATTCAGTTAACCAATGAGTATTCATCGGTGAACCCTGCAGATATCACTTAGCCAGGAACATAGTCCACTAGCTAAAAGGTTATTAATAACCTAGAAACTTCCGCATGCACGTTCGAAGTTGCATTTTACTGAAGCTGTCTATTCACAACAGTGGCCATAAAAGTGTTTATTAGAGCCACCACCTGTTTGAATTCACATTGAACATCCACCAGGGTAAGTAATCAAGAGTTGCTTCATACGTTAATGCGACATTTTGTTGTGAATTCACAGAAATTCACCTTTAAGTGCGTCTGAATATTGCGTCAGACGAACAAAATTTTCGGAGGTTGAATCGACTGCTGACACTTGAATTCTAGATCGTAGTCGTTCGATGCATTCGAAACATTTGCTTGCAAAGAAACATTTACTAATACCAATTGATAAAGTTCTGTACAGTTCATTGATCAGTGGAAGTCTAAAGTAAAGACTTCATGTGTTCGAAATGTTTTGCACATTGAAAACGTGCATTTTTGGAGAAAAAGTGCAATCCATACGAAGTGTGATTGTTAGGAACATCCTTAACCTGCGACCAAAACTGTGTGAATTGCCTAGGCCCCTACTGTTGCTGCGGGCACAGCACCGCAATCAGTATATAAACATACACAGGAAACGCAGTGTAATGGAATATAGAACATATAATTGCGCCAACCTTAACCGCGTAGGCGTCAATGACCACCCAGAGATCTGTAAAAACCGCTAAAAAACAGACCATCAGTCTAATGGGACATTTAAGAGAATACTGCACCCATTCCCGTTTTGACTGTTTGGAAAACCATCATTTTCTACGTGGAGGGCGTTACGGAGCACTGAAAAGGCATTTTTTACGTTCCTCTCAGTCTGTTTCACCTTCGCCATTTTTAGTTCCTATTGTTTGTTTTCTCGATTTCTTCATTCTATTGTCTACGTTTACCGACTTCGTTTTCTTCAATTGTGTTTTTGATTTTTCCATTAGTCAACTGATCACTAGTTCGTCTTTATGCTACATCGTTTCGGACGTCCTCTTAGGCCTTTCGATGCGTTAATTGAAATTGTGTCCGCGTGGAGGTTTGCGCTAAGCCCTGAAATACTGCAGATTTCCGGATAAATTCCGGGCCTTGCCGTCGGCTTGTTTCCTGCTGTCCCTTCCTAAACTCTGATTTGCACAGCTTGTGGTACGTCAGGCGATTCCGTATTCATTCTCGGTGGTTGTGCTGTTCATGTAATGGTATTTAATTTATCGGCATGCGGCCTAGTATGT